AAATTTTTTTTTTTTTTTTTTTTTAGTTTAACAATAATTGAATCATTGCCTTTGGGATTGTTATTGATGTTTCATCTATGGAGCTATATTTTGATTGACGATTAAAATTTTGCCTTGTAAATGGAATCTTTCATAACTTTTAGGGATACCACATGTTTAGCCCACGTGAATTTTCATTTCGTCGTTGTTGTCCACATTTGATTTAAGCATCAGACTTTGTCGTATGAGCACTACATTAGTGTTTATTTAACCCATTGAATAATTTTTCAATGAGTACTATATTAGTGTTAGTTTTTTAACCCATTGAGTAATTTTTTTTTCCTCCTATTTTGTAGGTGGTTGGATGACCAATCATGAATATCGACATTCACACTCTAGGGTACGACGAATCAAATCATTTGATATGATATGTTTTCAACTCCTTTTGCACGTTTTTACTTCAATATTAATTTGATTTTAAAGATAAATATAAAAGAGACCAATAATGTTGTATGCTTAGCTAATTTTTTTAAGTTGGACAGTACTTTAGAATGTCTGTGGCTAAAGCAAGCTCTACCTTCTCCATCTTCCTTAATGATTGATACCAAACTTCCCATTTTGGCTTTTTGTTCTCTTACATTCATATTCATCCTTGTTTGTCAAAAATGTTTTGATAGGAGTATGGCATTTTCTTGGATTCTGCTGCCAGTGAGGGACCAACTCCTCTCCGAGCATCATTACTTCATATGCAACCCTTTTTTTTGGTTTCTAATTTCAAACCTTACTAAGTTTGGGTGTTTTAGTTCATAGATAGTTTATTAACGTGAGATCTCACATCAATTTAATTGGAGAACAAGTGTCAGCGAGAATACTAGATCTCATAGAGGTGGATTGTGAGATCCCAATGTCAATTGGAGACGGGAACTAAACATTGTTTATATGGGTTTAGAAACCTAAACAATATCTATGAGTGCACCTAATACGATTAAACTTCTATACTAAATCAAATTTATTCTGACTTTGTTATTTAAATTTTATAAATATATTTTTATTTATGTTCCTAAGGTAAGAAATAATTTTTTATTTTCAAAAGAACAAAAGGATAATTATTGAGATTGAATTATTTGGAGTTGTGTTGTTATGTAATAATTAATTTGAGGGTTTTATGATTATAAAATCCAAGAAGAGTCCAAGTGAATTGGTTAAGATGGTGGATTGAGTCTTTCATAGATTCCTTTAAAATATGAAAAACCATATGCTTTCCTTTCCTTTCAACCAACCACTTTCCTCTCAATTACAGCCTTTCATATTTTCTGTCACATTTCCATTTTTATATCATTAAGTTTCTACATTATTATTCATTTCATTTTCACAAACCTTTCAATTTTTTTTTATTGCAAAATAAACATTTTTAAAGACTTTTATAAATATGCATTCATTTCTTTCCTAGAGAGTATGTATTTTAAATTTGGATAGATTTTTTTATTAATTTATATAATAACTTTAATTTTATCAAATTAAAGTTTAAGCTTAGTTGCAATGTTTACATAATTCAAATTCATCATATTCATCTACTAATTTTAATTTAAAAAAGCTAGTAAAAGTCTTGCTAATTTAATTAATAATCATGTTTTCTAATATATTTAAGTTTAATTAATGTTCAATTTAATCCATGCAATAATTAAAAAAATTTAATGAAAGTTTTTAGTTTTTTCTATTTTCTGAAGTAATAAGAGTATCATGTATCTTAATTTGCAAGAAAGAAAAATTACATAATTTTTATTATTTATTTAAAAATACAATGTTTTTATTTAAAAAAAAAAAAAAAAAAAAAAACCCAAATTTATGATCCCTCCTTTTTTCTTTTTTTTTTTTTCTTTATTGTTTTTCCGGACGACAGGATTGATCGCTGGTCTGTCTATCAACTAGCGATGAAAATAGTAAAAAAAAAAAAAAAAAAAAACCCAAATTTATGATCCCTCCTTTTTTCTTTTTTTTTTTTCTTTATTGTTTTTCCGGACGACAGGATTGATCGCTGGTCTGTCTATCAACTAGCGATGAAAATAGTAAAAAAAAAAAAAAAAAAAAACCCAAATTTATGATCCCTCCTTTTTTCTTTTTTTTTTTTCTTTATTGTTTTTCCGGACGACAGGATTGATCGCTGGTCTGTCTATCAACTAGCGATGAAAATAGTAAAAAAAAAAAAAAAAAAAAGGCAATTAATTAAAAGATGGAAGAAAAAGAAAAGGAAAAAGTATAAATATTGACACGTGTATTAATCCAGCTTACAAGTTAAAAAAGGGACAGTGAAAGATCAGGTCGAGACGTGGCTTCTTCTGAAGGGACTAGAGGCGAGTCTAGGATATAATCATGGGTGCATCACAGCAGATTATTACTTAAAATTTAATAAAACATATAACAGTGTGTTAAAATGGAATTAAGAAAATTAATTAAAAGAAAATTGAAAAAGGAAAACAATATCACCTGGCCTTGTCTTCCTCTTCCCCCAATCTTCCGAACTTTTTTCTCATCCATTTTCCTTCATTTTCTCGCTTCCTTTTCTTCACTCCGTCGAAATCCACCAAATATTCTCCTCTTCCTCCTCTAATTCGCGAAGAAACTGATCCTTTTCCAAAACTCAGATCCGAAGATCTCATCCCAGTATGTATTCTGAACCTTGTTTTTGTTTTTTGTTTTTCCCCCTTCTTTTGTTGTTTTTTTCGCTCACATTGGCGTTAAAATCTTTGCCATTACCTTATTTTGCGACCTCGTGTTCCAATCCCATTCTTGTTCTATTCAATCTCACTATGACCATGTCCTTTTCCTCGCCCCTTTTGATCTCCAATTCGTTTTTCCTCATGTAATTGCAGTTCTTTTCTTGTACCTCGTTACATGCCTTTTAATTCGGTTTCCAGATGTTAACTTGCATTTCTATGTACAGGGAATGTAGGTTGTGAGATTTGGATACGGAAGGCGTTCGTGTGCTGTGCGTGATTTGAGGCTTGAATGGAATTTGCGATCATTACCATCATCGGGCTGGAAGGTGTGGATCAGAGGCAGTATTGATTATTTCAATCCTCAGAAGAATCGATGCGGCACCTGGATTGGGAACGGAATTGTTTGACGGGGAAGCATTTGTGTGCCATATTGTATGGTGGACTAAATTTCGAGCTGATTGATATATAAAGGGAGAACTTGGTGGATTAGTAAATTAGGTCATGGAGCGCATTATAGGTGGGAAGTTTAAGCTTGGAAGGAAGATCGGCAGCGGATCATTTGGCGAACTTTATTTGGGTATTCAGCTCATGTGTTTTTTTATTCGTTTGTTCTTGCAATTCACGTGCTTGTATGACAAACATGGCGGACATTGATGGTGTTTCGTTTGGTTTATACAGGTACAAATGTACAAACTGGAGAGGAAGTGGCTGTCAAACTGGTAAGTAGATCATTCAGTTGTGTTTCCAATACTAATTACTGGGAAATTTGGAGATTTTGTTTTTTCTCCTCTGCGCTCTAAAGAATTGTGAAATTTTGCGATCAAGATTAAAAACGAATTTTTTTCCTTCAACAAGGATTGTCCTCTAATTTCTCGAGTTTTGATATTGATTTTTGGCTTCTTAAAACTTTTGTTGTGAACACCAAGTTGAGCAATATGGCCGGAAACTTTAACAAACACATTAGCATCTCGAGTGTTGTTGTCTCCAGAATTTAAGGGAAGGATGAAAGCCTTTTTTTTTATTGCTTATCAAATTTCCTCTCCTTGACATTACCATTTAGACGTTTTCATTATAAATACTTTTTTATCTTACCGCTCATTGCTAGGAGTGGTGGAAAGGGAAAAAATAACGCATCAAAATCTTGATGTCTTTCTGAATTTATATGTTTTATATTTACACTGGTCTGATACATAAGTTGTTCATTACGATACATGTTAACTGTATCCACCATTTGTTTTATATTCTACATTGACAAAATTTTAGAATCTGATGATTTATTTATGAGATTCTTGTTTCCTCAGGAATCTGCAAAGACCAAGCACCCTCAGCTTCACTATGAGTCAAAACTATACATGCTTCTTCAAGGAGGAAGTAGGTTTTCTCGATTGTTCATTTATGCTGAATGATGCTAACAATACTTTCTTAGAACTATGTCCAATCGTGTAGGGGTATTTCTTCTAATGTACTTTGTTTATGTATCCAGCCGGTGTACCTCATCTCAAATGGTTTGGAGTTGAGGGTGATTACAATGTCATGGTTATTGATCTCCTTGGGCCAAGCTTAGAAGACTTGTTCAACTACTGCAATCGGAAACTGTCCTTGAAGTCCGTTTTGATGCTAGCAGATCAGTTGGTTAGTTTGCCCATCCTTTTAAGTACTATCTTACTGAGTTTTTTCTATGCTCATTCATTTACCTCTCCCCTGTAGTTAAACAGAGTTGAATATATGCATTCACGCGGTTTCCTTCATCGTGACATAAAGCCAGACAATTTTCTTATGGGCTTGGGGCGAAAGGCTAATCAGGTATAATGCATTGGACAACATTTTTGTACATCTCTAGAGTTTTTTCTTGTTCCCAACATTGAAGCTATTCATTTCCAAGGGGAAAAACTGATGTCCCTACAAAATATATGCGGAGACTTGTGAGAGTTGGTGGGAATTTTAACGTTTGAGAATTTTAATGATGTCAATTAAAATCTCTTTTCTTAATAGTACTTTATCGTTTTTTGGTGCTTAAGTTTATTTCTTGTCGGTGGCCATCCTATCTGAAGTTTGTAGTTTCTGCTGTCTCAAGGTCATAATGCAGAGGCAAGAAAGAAAATGACTTCAATTTAAGTTCTCGCATGTTAGAATGTCTTTCTAGCTGTCATGAAAAACTTCATACGTTTCTGAACTTATTTCTATAAAGTTAAAAACAAATAATTTTCCCTCTGAATTTTATTGAGGAAGGGGGTTGCTGATTGAAAAGTTAATTTCTTTGGCTTATACCTTATTAAATCAAACCACCATGCTTTTTTGAACAGGTGTACATCATTGACTATGGTCTTGCAAAAAAGTACAGAGATCTTCAGACACACAAGCATATACCATACAGGTAACTTATCATCTATTACCTTTTTGTGACTCTGGCATGCCTTTTATCTGCATTTTCCCTTTGCCAATCTTGACACTCCTTGCTACCATATTGAGTCATGAAGCTTCAGCTTTCAGTCCCCTAAACGTGCGTAGCTATGAACAGGTAGAGAAGGTGGATTTGTTTATCAGTACAGATGCCTCATAACCTTATTCTATCCTTCAACATTTGAACTGCTCCATGCTGATGTCTCTTTGTCATACAGTACAATGATGAGTCTAGTGATGAAGTGACTGGATCATTCAAACAAGTGTTTAATGAATTGGGAATCCCCCCCCCCCCCCCTTTTTT